AAGGAAGGATTTCGCAAAAAAACATTAGAAAATCGGTTATATTTCCTTAATTATTAATAAATATTTATGAAAATTTCGATAATTTTGGAACATATTAATTAATTAGTGCATGGCCTTCTAATAGGGCGTTTGAACTTTTGCTCGGACATGGCCTTATACAGGAGGTGGCCTTCTAATATAGGGTGGCCGTCTATTGTGGGGGGGGGTTTACAAGATATACATTAACCGTGTAATAACTCTTTCTGAAAGTGCTTTTTCCAAAAGCTGGAGACCACTCTGTTGAACGTAACTGTAGTTACCAAAACCAGTGACGTTTCATAAATTTTCCGATTTTCTGAAACACTATCAAACGCCTATGATTCGTTCATAGCTCATTTGGAAGAGAAATGTAGAGCACACATTTTTCTACAAAATGAGACGTCGGTGAGCTCTTTGCGATGGTTTTTTATAGTTTTACATGCATTTTACGACAAGCACTGTATTTGAGGCCCATCTTCAACTAGTTTTCACCTCGGGTTTTATTCACTAACCGAATGCAATAACTCACATATGGTTGAATAGAACGTTGGAAATTACATCTAGCGGCATGCTTTTTTACCTTTATCAGCTCATATCAGTAGAAAAAAGAAAGTTTTCATTTTGTAAAGATGGTTGGAAACTGGATATTTTGTATGGAAAAAGATATTTTTCTCGTATCTTTCCCAAATGAACCTTTTTAGTTTTGCACTTAAAAACTGCACATATTATGCTAGCTACTCTTGTCAAAACTTGATATAAATTCTTTTCTCCTAACCGTCTAAAAAATAGACATTTTTAAAAAGAAAGTTAGACAAATCCGTGAAGGGCACCGCGAGTAGATTTATGTGATTTTTAGACGGTTAATTTATATCAAGTTTTGACATGAGTAGCTAGCATAACATGTGCAGCTTTTAAGTGAAAGATAAAAGGCATGCCGCTAGATTTAATTTCCAATGTTCTATTCAACCATATGTGTGTTATTGCATTCGGTTAGTGGATCAAAACTGAGGTGAAAACTAGTTGGAGATGGGCTTCAAATACAGTGCTTGTCGTAAAATGCATATAAAATTATAAAAAACCATCGCAAACTCTCATTTTGTAGACAAATATGTGCTCTACATCGGCGATGACTTAAACCAAGTTCGTATGTCCACATATTTTGAGATTTGTATATTAAAATTTAGAAAAGTAAGAAAATGATGAAACCCATGCCGGTCTCCAGTATTTGATTTACCGTACATCATCCTAGTATTTCAAAATATTAAGCGGTACTGCTCTGAGATGGTATCGTAATAATAGCCAAAGGATGAAAGAGTTGAATATGTTTATGAACAAATTTGTGCACAGATGTGTTTTACAACAGCCACAGATCAACGCAATAAAGTAATGGAACAAGAACTGCTAGCCGTGTCTTCGCATTTTCTTTCGAACTCCCATAAAACGGTTTAACAAAATCTTTCATATCCTGCAATGGATTCAAAGCATTAATCACCACTTGTTGACTCGGTGGTACTGTTACTGAATGTTGTCCCACTCCAACATCCGCTGGATGACTATGGCTCACAGAATCAGATATGGGCTAAATACCAAAGGCTCCAAGATCGTGAGATGGTTGTTGCTGATTGTTTTGAGCAAGTAAAATTATATCTGATTGGCTTTAGCAGTTCTTGTTCCATTACTTTATTGCGTTGATCCGTATTCTGAGAGCATTACCGCTTAATATTTTATCCACTATTTGTTGTTTTTGTATTGAATTAAACTGCAACTCATGAAATATTTTATTCACCTCACTCAACCATTTCCAAACATCCGCAAACGCTTGTCTTGTGCTTCAGACAATTTAAACGCATTCTGAACAATTTTATTAATATCTAACGATGTTGTTTTATTATTATTTATTTTTGTTGCTATTACAGGATTGTCCGATGATTGTGGATGTTGGGTCGTTAAATTTTTTGTTAGCATTGGATCTGAAGAGTGTTGCCCAGCTTTGTCATTGACGATTGGATGAGATGACGAAATATGCTGTCGTGTCAAATGTTGGATACTAACTAAGAGTGAAGTTATTCTATCTGGTGGGGCTACATGTGATTGATTGTAACCACTCACTATTCGTTGTTGTTCCAATGCATGGTCAAATTCAAATGATGAATGTTTTTTAGTTTCAATATTTAATGTTTGTTGTATTCTTAATACGGTCATGCCTGAAGTAAATAATACACATTGCTGAATATTAAAGTTCTTTAAATGTAGCCTAACTCTCGACTACAGCTATATTATCACAACACCATTTTTTAAATAATCCTCCCAAACGCTGTGCCGCTAACTTTGTCCACCGTCATTTCGGCTACTCTGGAGGCTCTAATTGTATCATAACATCATATAACCAATCTTTAACATGTAGCATCAAATTTTCATCAAACATAGGTATCTCGTTTACTTCTAAATGATCTTGTAAATGTATTGATGTTAACATTTCTTGTATCCCATGTGGTATATCTCTTGATTCAGTTTTATCATTATCTAATACTGTTGTTATCGGCGAATCAATTTGTTCGTTTGAGTTATCAATTCCACTCACTTTGGCCACCATTTTCATATAAACCATCCTTCAGTCAGCTACCATTGCTTCCTTTTCAAGTTGACATTTATCATGTCTTTGATGTTCCTTATCATCCATAACCAATAACGAAGAACTCGACTGTTGCTCCAAGTTTATTACATTGAGGTAGAGGGCAACTTTGTATGTTGAAGAATTATCCGGATTTATACCTAGATCATGACAGACAAAGAATGAACGCTTGTTAAAATACGTAGATGTGAATTACTGAGAAAAGGATAGGCAACTAACGACCCACCTGCTGATGCAGCAATATGATACCATACACCGACCGTTAGATTAGTACAATTGGACATATAGTAATCGCCGTTGTTGAGTGTTGGATTATCGAAATTTTGCACTGTCGTATTACCGTAAACGCAAAATGCTAACTGTTTGTATCTAAAGTTCAAATAATAATTTCCTTGCGCTACTACACCTCTCCAGGCGTCATCAATGCTGGAAGCAGCTTTCATCCATGCCTCAACTGTAATTTGGTTTGTGTCGGGCCCATAATGAGGTGCACAGGTCGTGGTGTATGATATCGCTGCCGAAGATCCATTGAAAGTAGCTGCACTTCCAGTCACTGGAAGAAAAAATATATCTACGTACAGCCACATTCGCTCAACACAGCCAGGTAGGTCCCTATAAGGTATTAGAACAGATATCCACTCATAATCATTAATCTGTTTAGATTTTGTCTGTTTTCCATTGGCATTGGGTATATCAATATCATTGACTATATTATCCATCTTTCTATTATAATACGATCTTCTTAGTCCGTTGCGTACTTTCGCACAGGTCCGTCTACTTTATACATAACTTAAAATCGGGAAGGTTTGACTGTTTGCAATCGATAGCCTTACTAAACGTGTGTAGGACCTCCTGTCGCCCCATGGAAAAATTATTCTGAACACGGTTTCTCCTTAGCCATAAGTCCTGAATTGAAGTGTTTCTAGGGATGCCAGAACAGCGAAATCCGACCTTACCTAATACTATCAAACGTTTTCATTCAAAAGTGGCTGAGATTTTCACCAAAAAGTGGAAATCGCCAAAAGCTTTCAAAACAGATACCATTCGACTTGGTTTTGGCACTGACTCCGAATATGATACTCTTATTGCATATAAAGTGAGTTCTGAGGGGAAAATTGTGAATTACGGCCAGAGATTCGAGTTTTTCGCTAATGATTTAGAAAAAGTGAAATTTCTTAGCAATGAAGAGAAATTTCAGTGAACAGAAGACCACCATTTACAACTGTCTTTTCTTTGACGAAATTCTTATTGGATATAACTCACTACAAAAACCTTGCATACAGGCCTGGCAAATAAGAAACGACAGAAAAAGGATAACGTATCTCAAATGGGTGCACCGCACTTTGTTGAATAAGGGCAAGAAACGAGTAGATGGTCTGTTATAAAATTCAGAGGATAAAATTCAACTGATCGTTGGATGCTTATTTACCTGCTGTAGTTGCTAAAATATCAGGCCATCTGTTACCGATAGTCGATACTAATATTGTCAAAGATCGATCTTTTAGTTGTTTCGAATAAGTCATTGTTGCTTTGTCATGCTGGTAAACTTCATTAAATGCATTAACTCTTTACCTCCTGAGAGGAAATTTTTTTCGAAGATCCAGGAAAGGTGATTACTAAAGTGGAGCTTTTGAGTGCTCACTGTGTCCATTCCATACTTAAAGTAAAATACAGTTGTCTAGGTGACAGAATACAGAATGTCCACAAGTGTGGACATTAGGGGGAACAACATGATAAACGCAATTTTTTCTTTGTGTTATGCGAACTTCCCTAGTGATCGATTCTTACAAAAGAATCTGATAGGAATCTGATAAGGAACTTATAAGAATCCGCTATCACTTGTCTTATTAAATTCTTACATAAGAAGTCCGCACGAAAGTGACAAGAATTTCGTAAGAATCAGGTAAGAATCCTGTAAGAATTCGACAAGAAAAGGGCAAGAACTGACAAAAACTTCCAATGTTTTTTTTCCTTCGTTATTTAGCTGTATAGTTGGTTCATTAGTAAGTGTGTAAGAGGTCGCGAGGCATTCTCAAACGACCAGTCTTACCTACCTCGAAGAAACTGATGAAAAAGTTTCCAAGAAATCAGTCGTACTTATATAGTATGTGCATCAGCAAAATAAAACGGTGATTGGCTTTTAGTAAGAATTTCAAAAGGAAGTGATAAGAAAGTGATAAGAGTGTCTTATTAAAGTCATAGCTCATTCTTATTTAAATCTTACCCGATTCTTATCGGATTCGTACGAAATTCTTGCCATTTTCGTGCGGACTTCTTATGTAAGAATCCGATAAGACTCGGATAAGATTCTTACCAGAAATAGCAAAAAATGTTTGTCTAGGGTTGTTGTGTCAAAATTCAACCTTGTGACAGAAACAAGGTCATACTCGGAATCAGGATCCAGAATTTTGAACTCTGATTGATGTGGTATAAAGTCAGCGCTGATGACTTACTTCTTGCGGAAACTGAGAGTCAAATGTCAGACGGTTATGTAATCACATAAGAGCTTTTCCGAAATTTTGCTCTGTTTCCGAGATATCTCAACTTTCTTGAAAATGCGGCAGTTTTCACCAAAAACGGTCAAGTCATTCTTTAATGAAGTTGTCAATTTTCACTCAAATTCAATAAAAAGTTGGTTTCGTAGATAAACAACAGCACATAATCCGATGATACCACCTTCGGGATTTGTAAGTGTTTTCCAGAGGAGCTTTTGGAAACTAGATCTTCTTTCTTTCCATAAAGTACAGAAAATCACTTGACTCGATAGAGAATTACATTGTGAATAAAACCAGACCCCTCCGAGGTTTCTCATAGGATGGGAAAGTCCACATCGCCGCGACTTCTCGATTTTAGTAAAAAATGTAGTATGAATCAGAGATCGCCGCGGGTTATGACTGTCTGACTGATTGCCTGAGTGACTGACTGCCTGCCTCAGAGGCACTCAGTCAGTCAGTTAGGCAGTCTGGAGGGATCGGCGGGCGAGAGGGAGTCACACACACCGATACTCATCAATTTAATAGTAAATGAGAGAAGCAGTTTCATTGGTCAAACGGAAAGTCGCGACGGGGACTTTCTCATGAACTCAGGTTTCTATGACGTCCCGTTGGCAGAGTATCTGTTTTTATCCATATTGACCATTGACATACCTTCTTCTCGGACTAAAACGGACAAGCGAAAGATTGTACAAAACTCTGATCAGTCTCACTTTGTTCAGAATTTAATTTTCTATCGAACCAGATGGCTTTCAGTATTTGTTTTATGAAAACCTGTTGAAAAAATGTTTTAAAGATTAAAACATTTATATTCTTAATTAGTTCGATGTGCTCTATTCAACCATGCATAAATAAGCGAAAACAAAAATGATGCTGCATCTTTTAATTGGTAGTACCGTGTCTCGACGCGATTTCACTGGGTTAGTATGTGCGTGGTCACAGACTGTAGCTAAGATATCCTATAATACTCCATTGCAGATATTCATTTTATCCTACATATCACCAATTCATTCACTCATGTTTTTATTACAAAACATCTCAGTCGTTCAATTCTATACAATTCAGTGTTTTTCTGTTTTAAGTTTTACTCTTTTGATATTCCAACATAAAAGGTTTCTAATTGCGGACAACTGGTTTTGAATTTGTCATCTACTAATAATGATACATCATTTTCAACAACATACAGTTTTAAAATTTTTAATTTTGGACAATGTTGAATAAATTTAGTGAGAAACCCTATTGTGGGTACCATTGACTGACCAATATTTATTTCTAATTGGTCTAATAATGGATGACTTTTAGCAAATTCTATCAAAGCATTTTCACTAAAATGAATTATTGGTTGTGTATATGATTCATCATTTATTTTATGTCCAGCGATACCACCATGTTTTAATATAATATTTTTTAGATTTTTATTATTGTTCAATATTTCTAAACATGTGTCAGAAAATTCTAGATGACCTTCTAAATCAATTGACAATAGTTTTGGTAATTTGGATATAATTTTATTAATAATATTATCATTAATGTACAACTGTTCTAAACTATAGTGTTTATATTTACGGCCACAACACCACCAAATACGTACTTTTAAATGTTCTAAATTGATTAAATTGTCTACTATAACATCAATAGAAGAGGAATATTCTTGCGTCCATGTTTCTAACTCAAATTGTTTTATATTTGGAAATATTTTCAGTAGTAAATCTACAAATCCATTCTGATTTCTGAATATATTTGTTCGTAATGATAAATATTCAACAAGTGGAAATGATTTTACATTTGTTGAATCAATTTGTACATCCTCCGATGGTGAGAAAAATGGAGCATGGTCAGCTCTATTATCAGTTATTTTCATACCACCACACATTTCGAAAAACTTTAACCAATTTCCAAAACTATAATAACATGACCAACAGTTACTTTGCGATTGATGACCAACATCAATTGCAACTTTTCTAATAATTTGTCTTGATTTCTCATTCCAAATGCTGACAATAGGCAAACGAGCATTCAGAATTAACTCGCGTAGATTTGGCGTAATAAGTTCATCTGTTAGATCATGAATTAAATCAGTTTCATCATGAAATCTTTCATCTGGTTCATCATTCGAATATGGTGGACTATCAACAATTATTTTTTCTAACGTTTTACCTTGAACTTGTAAAAGTTGTTTTGCTATCTTTAAGTCTTCCTTTTCTTTTTTAACAATAATACGTAGATACTTTAAATTTGGTACAAATATAAATAAATTTGATGTTACTGGCCGATAAATCAGTTTTCTATGAAAACTTGATGTATTTTGATATTCGTCATGAGGAATTGTCATCTCCTGTTCAATATTAAATGTAGTCAAATAATTATAATTAATAACAATTGAATTCCATCTTTGGCAAACATTAGCACAATAACTGAGATCAATAAATGATAAATGTGTGAATATTTGATTTAATATTTCTGTTGGAAAATCATTCAAAAACATGATTATTCTGTTATTTTACCGTTTAAATTTTGATGGTAGAATACTTAATCTTTTTTGTGCATCAACACACAGTAATATGCAGTGAAAGAACGACAGAAAACTTGTTTTTTTCGTTCTTCATGTTTTGTAATACATTAGCTACACAAATACCTTGACTCATATATAGAGGTGAGATCGTGCAAGCAATCATTCATACATTTCGTTAAACGTACATGTCTTTTGTTTTCTGAGTCAGAATGATTTGCCTGTCAACTTTGTCCATGAATAATGATTGGCTGAAACGTTTTTCTTTAGAATCAATATTTAGAAATAAAATAGAACAATTTTAATTCTAATTTAAACGGACATTTATGGTTAAAGAAAAACATAAAAGTGAGCATTAATATTGGCAAAGATGTCATTAGTAGGCAGATAAACAACTTGCTCAGTACACATTCTTTCAAATGCTGGATTTGTTGTAAGATTAGGTCAATGAAAGAACGGGACTTATCGAACATACCTTTTGGGACTGTTCGGAAAAGTAGTTGAAGATACGATTAATCCAAATCATACTGTTTTAAAAATGGATAATATCGTCGTAGCTAGTTTTGGAGACTCCGTCTATTATATCTTCAGCTTGCAGCGATCTAAAACTAATTTTTTCTAGTGATTGTTAGCAAGTTAAAGAAAGATTCAGGCTTTTAAGCCTAAAATTTGATTTGAAATTTTCATTTTTGCACTATTGAGTGTAAAATTAAGTGCT